CCTGTGCCAGGCTACGGAAAGGACTCGCAGGCGCACACATGTCCGAAGTGAGAGGACTGTCACGACCCACTTCTGTGTGGTGTGCAGGCCCCCAGAACAAAGGTGTGAAAAAAAACCTGCACATTAAAAAAAAAATTCCTTTCTATAGAAAACAAAACAACTATTTTACTGTAGTCCTGACGTCAAGCATGAAGCTCGCTACGTGACAACCTTTTTTTCACTCCGTACTATTAATATAAACCATGTGGAGTTGTGGGGGGGGCGGTTTTGAAGAGATCCACACTTGGTTTATCATTCCATCCACCCCAACCCCCCACCCCCACCCCAAAAAAAAAAAAAATTAATAATAATATTTCCAAAGTGTTATTTTAAACTTAAAGACAAGCATTGTTATTTCGGGTCTTTTGTACAAGCCCATTTGGTTTCTTTGGTTTAACTAGCTGTACACAACTAAATGTCTTTGGTTTAACTAGCTGTACACAACTAAATGTCTTTGTTTAAAATTGCTGTACAAAACGTTTTTTTTTTTTTTTGGTTTAACTAACAGATAAAGGAAATTAACCAACAATCACATTGACCAACCACCAAAAAAAAAAAAAACAAAAAAAAATTGATGTTAAAAATATTTTTTAATAATTTTGTTAAAAACGTTTTTTTTTTTTTTTGGTTTAACTAACAGATAAAGGGAATTGACCGACAATCACATTGACCAAACACCAAAAAAAAAAGAGACAGAGAAAAGTTGCGTTTCAATATATTTTTTAATAATTTTGTTTGTTATGCACACTTCCTGTGGATATTGATGTTTTCAGAAATATAAAATTCATAGAAACACACACACACACACACACACTTAAAAAAAAAAAGCCACATCAAAAATTTATCATTTTGAAATTATAGTGTTTGGAATAAATGATGAACTTATGGGGAACAAAATGTTCACGTGAATAACTCGAAAGCATATTAATTGGGAAATACATAAACATCATCAGAAACATATATCACTTGGAGTTGTCCGAAAAACAGGAAGTTGAAGTTGTGAGCCGATTACCCGAGTGATTCTCAATTAGGACCTGTGCCCCCCCCCCCGGGGAGAGGGGGGGGCACATCAAATGCGCACGAAAATTTTCAAAAAGTAGGTCAAGAACCAATACGTTTGGAAACCCTGCAATACACTTAGCTATTATCCCCTTGTAAAGTGGATTGTAAATTATTTCCCATTTAGTTGATTGTATTGAAATGAGACCCCTTTCTGTGATGATAATGGTGGTAATATTCCCTTATGAGATTGTAATTGTACTGTAGCGACGGCCCTTTAAATGATTGTAATTGTAGTGACGCCCCCTTATTGGATTGTATTGTTAGTGATGTCCCCTTTCTTGAAAGTGTTGGAGTGATGCCCCCTCGTGTGATTTTATTGCTAATGACGTCCAGCTACGTTAATGCAGCCAGCAATCTAGCACACGTTGTCAGGCGTTGGGTAGCTGCCCATTAAAAGCTAAAAATCAACCAATGGCCCACTCAATGGAAACAGGTCTTGTCTTGTTAGCAATTTCACTTATTTCTTGTTGGTTTTAAGCCCAGTATTTCCTGATATAGTGTTTCAATAATATTTATGACTATCTCTTTAAATTTGTTTTCTTTTACTTATCAAATTCGGGGTTCTCAACCAGCCAAATAGCAGCAATTAATATATTTTCAAACAATTTTATAAATGATATAATTTAATTTCGACCTAAAAATATACTATGAAAAAAAAAAATGTTTAAGCATTCAAATTTTAATTGTGGAAAGATAACGTCACAAAAATAATTTCACTTTGTTCACTTTGGACAGAGGTAATCAACTAGTTATGTGCCGCTAATATACACTAGAGAACCCCTCCCCCCCCCACCCCCCCCCCAAAAAAAAAAAAAGCAAATATAATTTTTATGCTTTCTTTTAAAAGCAAATGTCTCAAAGACTAAATTTTTTTTTTTTTGAAAACAGGCATGCATGACTGCATACGATGAGTATGTTCTCCTCTGTTGGGCAATCATTCTCATGCCCTGCGGCAGGACACAATGACAGAGATCTATTGTCACCCCTTGGGCAGTGCTGACACCCCGTGGTGTGATCTAGAATGCACCATTATAACTAGACTCACGGCCAATGATTGTCTATTCAGTGTTATTAATGGGGGCGGGGGGGGGGGTTGAGGACACAATCAATTGTTTTGTTAAACAAAGATCATCTTCACTCATTGGACAAAAATAAGACAGGGTATAAGTCTGAAGACACCATTATAACTAGACTCACGGCCAATGATTGTCTATTCAGTGTTATTAATGGGGGCGGGGGGGGGGTTGAGGACACAATCAATTGTTTTGTTAAACAAAGATCATCTTCACTCATTGGACAAAAATAAGACAGGGTATAAGTCTGAAGGGAGGATGACCAACCCACCCATTATAGGTTAAAGGTGGGTGGCGGGATATCCCAAGTGGGATGTTACACGATGATTGTTTGATTGGTGTTCGATTGTGCCCTGTCACTGATGTGAAGACGGAAGTATGAAGACAAAAATAACAAGCCACGAATTAGATAACATGAATGTGGCGTATCACTCATAGATACGCCACTGTCATATGATTTGGACACAATGAATGAGATCCCCTCCCAAAGTGTCAGGTCGCGGCCATACAGCCATTTCAACGAGGGATAATTATCACAACCCGATTAGTTAGTCTGGAACTTCTCTCCTTTTCTAGTGGTGACATCCCAGTGGAATCATTCATCCTGATCAAATCATTTATACTGATCAACTCATTTATACTGATCAACTCATTTATACTGATCAACTCATTTATACTGATCAAATCACTCATCCTGATCAAATCATTTATCCTGATGAAATCATTTATACTGATCAACTCATTCATCCTGATCAACTCATTCATCCTGATCAAATCATTTATACTGATCATCTCATTCATCCTGATCAAATCATTCATCCTGATCAAATTATTCATACTGATCAAATCATTCATCCTGATCAAATCATTCATCCTGATCAAATCATTCATCCTGATCAAATCATTCATCCTGATCAAATCATTCATCCAGATCACATCATTCATCCTGATCACATCATTTATCAGGATCAAATCATCCATCCTGATCACATCATCCATCCTGGTCAAATCATCCATCCTGATCAAATCATTCATCCTGATCAAATCACTCATCCTGATCAAATCATTCATCCTGATCAAATCATTCATCCTGATCAAATCATCCATCCTGATCAAATCATCCATCCTGATCAAATCATTCATCCTGATCAAATCATTCATCCTGATCAAATCATTCATCCTGATCAAATTATTCAGGCTGATCAAATCATTCATCCTGATCAAATCATTCATCCTGATCAAATCATTCATCCCGATCAAATCATTCATCCCGATCAAATCATTCATCCTGATCAAATCATTCATCCTGATCAAATCATTTATACTGATCAAATCATTCATCCTGATCAAATCATTCATCCTGATCAAATCATTCATCCTCATCAAATCATTCATCCTGATCAAATCACTCATCCTGATCAAATCATTCATCCTGATCACATCATTCATCCTGATCACATCATTCATCAGCATCAAATCATCCATCCTGATCAAATCATCCATCCTGATCAAATCATTCATCCTGATCAAATCATTCATCCTGATCAAATCATTCATCCTGATCAAATCATTCATCCTGATCAAATCATTCATCCTGATCAAATCATTCAAATCATCCATCCTGATCAAATCATTCATCCTGATCAAATCATTCATCCTGATCAAATCATCCATCCTGATCAAATAATTCATCCTGATCAAATCATTCATCCTGATCAAATCATTCATCCTGATCAAATCATCCATCCTGATCAAATCATCCATCCTGATCAAATCATTCATCCTGATCAAATCATTCATCCTGATCACATCATTCATCCTGATCAAATCATTTATCCTGATGAAATCATTTATACTGATCAAATCATTCATCCTGATCAAATCATTCATCCTGATCAAATCACTCATCCTGATCAAATCATTCATCCTGATCAAATCATTCATCCTGATCAAATCATTCATCCTGATCAAATCATTCATCCTGATCAAATCATTCATCCTGATCAAATCATTCATCCTGATCAAATCATTCATCCTGATCACATCATTCATCAGGATCAAATCATTTATCAGGATCAAATCATTCATCCTGATCAAATCATTCATCCTGATCAAATCATCCATCCTGATCAAATCATTCATCCTGATCAAATCATTCATCCTGATCACATCGTTGATCCTGATCAAATCATTCATCCTGATCACATCATTCATCCTGATCACATCATTTATCAGGATCAAATCATTCATCCTGATGCTGTGTTTTATCCAGAGGGAAGTATCTATTTGCAAGAAACAATATTCAGCTTGTTTGTTTAACTCTGTCACAGTCAGAATTTTATGCCACACGCTGTGCCAAGATATGCTGTGCCGAGATATGCTGTGCCAACATATGCCCTGTGGGATACCTTTTTTCTTGAAACAGGTGTGTATCATACAACAAATTTTATTATAAAAGTATCACATGTTTGATGATTAGCGATTTTCATGAATAGTGTGATGTTCAGGTGAGCGTTCTTTCATGTATCTTATCCGGTGGCACATGCTTCTTCTTCAATGACATGTCAAGTATCATAGGCCACATCCTGCTGTAATGCTTCATGTAGAAAAATCCCAGGCAATGCATTATCCTTTCATATCCTTGGAATCGTGATACATGCATGATATCACGGCGAGGTACGTCCACCCTTAAGCACATCCTTGAATGTCCCATGCTTGATATCACACGTCCAATGAAGCGAGACTCAAATGAGGCATGACGTGCAATCAATCATGTGCCTAGCACACGATGTGTGGTGTCAGTTGTCACATATAAATGTTGGTCTCCGGGGGAGGTGCTCTCGTCCATCTATAACGTGGGGTCGTCGTCCTCCCAGGCCGCCAGTGTCGGCGATGATCCGGCCGAGGCCGTCCTGTGGAAGCTGGAGTTGTGGTGTTTCACCTTGGCGACGACGCTGTCCCTCGTGATGTCCGGCAACGCCACGCCGTTGCTGGCCAAGGTCATTAAAGGCCTGTCCGTGCTCAGCAGCCAGTAGGTCTCCATCTGACCTTTGCCCTGTGTCAACAGAAATACATATTTATTTTCAAGGGGTTTGTTTGTAATAAATAAAACTAATGCTGACAACACAGCCCGGGTCTAGCTGCAATATAAACATAAATATTTATTATTGTTTAAAGTAGGTCCTGGTCATGATCATATTATTGATTACTGCTATACCAACGCACGGTGGATCAATGTCCTATTGTTACGGTTCTGGGTTCTGCTAAATCGACTATCAGTAGAACAATATGCTACAGAATCTGAAGTGACTTTTTGGGTTCAAGAACACATGAATATGATATTATGAGAACTGCACACCGATGTCAATGTCTATAATACCTTTATGTCCACGTCTATAATACCTTTATTTCAATGTCTAGAATACCTTTATGTTTATTTCTAGAATACCTTATATCAATGCTTAGAATTCCTTTAAGTCAACATCTAGAAAAACCTCTTAGGTCAATGTCTAAGGATACCTTTATGTCAACATCTAGAATACCTTTACGACAATGCTAAAATACCTTTACGACAGTGCTAAAATACCTTTATGTCAATGATGCCCCGTCTCTCCGTTGTAAACCCTTTGATTTTCATCAGCAGTGCATTCATGGTGAAACTTATATGAATTCTGTTTGCTGAAATAGAATTGTAAAGATGTGTAACGTCTGCATCCATTTAATCATTTAACGGGTATACCAAACATGTCCAGCACCTTTATCATCAAAATACATTAGTCTCTATGTAACACTGTCCGGTCACTAACTCTATATCGCGCAAAAACAAACTACCGATAACTAAACTAAATGAGATTTTTTTTTTTAAAACCGTTAGTGCATTTGGTGCATACTATTTCCTTTTGTTTGACGGAACGAGTCTCATTAATAAGAGTTCAGTGGCGTTGGCGTATGGGCGGGTGGGGGTGGCTCTAATTGGGAATCTTGCAAGAGCGTTACTTGAATACGTGTTTTGTCAAGTAACTAAAGTAGATGGGAAGTTAGTTCATTGATCGTGGCCATTGTTTTGCGAGCTACAGCGAGCATATTAATAATTAATTGAAATGATATAGTTAAGAAAGACAAAAAAATCTAGCTCAGGGGCCCTCAAACTGCGGGCCATAGTCAGCCTACCGGGGGTGCTTAGCCCGGGCCCGCCTGGCCTTCGTTCAGGTGCCTGGGAAGCAGGGACATGTGTAGACCTGGACATCATTGACCGTTTCATGAGCTAAATGTAAGCACTTACTTCCAATGGGAATACTAATAACTTGATTCAAATTGTTCTTCATTTTAAATAGTTAATTGTATGTTTCTGTTTTTTGCACATAAGATAAGTGGAGCATGCACAGGAATTTGAGCATATTTTAAAAAAAAAACTATAAGCCCAGGCCCAGAACAATTTTTATGGGACAGTGGACCCGACCTCTCTCAGTATCAGTGGGACGGTGAACAGGTCCTCCGATTTAACGGTGTTAGGACACCCGACCTACCTAAATGGAGAACCGGAAACATGATTTTACACACGACTTTATATGCAGCTAATTTGAACGCTTACACAGGTGACCTTACATAGGTGACCTTACATAGGTGACCTTACATAGGTGACCTTACATAGGTGACCTTACATAGGTGACCTTTCATAGGCGACCTTCCATTATTATCCCCCTTTATGGCTGACCTTACATAGGCGACCTTACATAGGTCACCATACATTGATGACCTTACATAGGTCACGTTACGTAAGTGAACTTACACGGGTGACCTTACATTGATGACCTTAAATGGATGACCTTACATAGGTCACGTTACGTAAATGACCTCACAATGGGTGACCTTACATTGTGGATCTTACATAAAGGGACCGCGGCGTAGAAAGTCATTTGAAATTATCAAACACATTCTCGGGGGTTGTTTTTTTTTAATGAAAGATATTCGAATTATTATTTAATAAAGATTTCATCCCTAAAATATCCCGTGGATAATCGATGACAGTCCTTGAGGTCACCTAAAACAGTGATCGGCAAATTGCTGCTCGGGAGCCCCATGCGGCTCTTTAGTGACCCGTGAATGTCCTGCTGCTAATTTTGTTTTGGGGGGGGGGGGCCTTTTGACTCATGCGTTCGCCCAACCACTGCCCTAAAGTGATTGCTAATTAATATTTAAAAAAATGTTTGAAGGATGTCTGACGTACGCATGCCATGGGACTCCATTCGACTGGCTGTGTTGACGGTGTCTCCAAACAGGCAATACCTTGGCATTTTGTTCCCTACGACACCTGCCACGGCAGAACCTGGGAACAAGATGACACATTAAAAATGTATACATAGCTTAATGTGATGTCAATGGCGTAATTTAATACCAAACTAGCAATAATTTACTCTGTACATGAATAGATGTTGATACAATGAAAACATCTGTTCAATTGAAAAAGCTTTTTTTTTTTTCATAGAAAGAGGATAATGATCTTATTAGTCTTTAAAGTTGTTTGCAGTTTCTACTACTCCTACCAGTGTATACATGAATCACCTGAATGGCATACATGAATCACCTGAATGGCATACATGAATCACCTGAATGGCATACATGAATCACCTGAATGGCATACATGAATCACCTGAATGACATACATGAATCACCTGAATGACATACATGAATCACCTGAATGACCTACATTACTCACCTGAATGACTTACACGTCTCACCTGAATGACTCACCTGAATGACATACATGACTCACCTGAATGACTCACCTGAATGACTTACATGCCTCACCTGAATGTCTCACCTGAATGACCTACATGACTCACCTGAATCACTTACATTACTCACTTGAATGACTCACCTGAATGACTAACATGTCTCGTCCGAATAACTCACCTGAATGACCTACATGACTCACCTGAATGACTTACATGCCTCACCTGAATGACTCACCTGAATGACCTACTTGACTCACCTAAATCACTTACATTACTCACCTGAATGACTCACTTGAACAACACACATGAATCACCTGAACGACCTACATGACCCACCTGAATGGCATCCTATCCTTAGTTCTACCGTCCTGCTGGGCATGTGTGGAATGTGAAAGTCTATGGTGGTCTTCAGCAGCTCAATGGCCATCAGGGATATCTCAGCGCAGTGGGTACTACCGTTCCTGAAATGTGACCACAAGAGAGGTAACTTCAGACGTTAAGTCCATGTTATTCATCCAGTTGCTTTTGGGGGAAGCTAACGTGTTAAATTGGTCAAAGAATGTATTCCTCCTTACAAAGGGGTCGGCTAAGACCATTGGGAAAAGATACAGTTATGAATTAGCATCGAAAATAATTTTATGGTTGGGGGTCACAACATGCGGATATGTATTAAAGGGTTGCGGCATTAGGAAGCTTGAGAACCACTGATATAGATGCTAAACCTGCGCCTAGAAGCCAGCAAATGACATTGTCACAAGACCGTCCAGTTATTTGGCTAACCTGTTGGGCAGCCCGCTGACCACCATGTAGGCGTCGCCGATCGTCTCCACCTTGTACACGTCATAGTGGTCCAGGATGTCATCGAATATTTGATACAGTTGATTCAATAAGACGACAACCTAGATGGCAGAGATGACATTTGTCAATAATACAATACCATGGATGACATGCGTGAAAAGAGATAACAACTTATATTGCACAGATAACATGTATAAGAAGATAACAATTTAAATGACACAGATGACATGTGTCAAAAAGATAACAACTTATTCGGCACAGATGGCATGTGTCAAACACACAACTTATATGGCACAGGTGATGTGCGTTACATTAAGTACCCGTGACATTGCTTCTAACAGGAGTTCTGTATGTCATGATGTTACACCAGACTCTAGACCATCTTGATGGACTAACAAACATTATGGGATTCTCTGGAATCACGTGTATGAACAACAACAACAACACCACCACCAACAACAACACCACCACCAACAACGCCACCACCAACAACAACAACAACACCACCAACAACAACAACGCCACCGACAACAACAACAACAACGCCACCAACCACAACAACACCAACAACAACAACAACAACAACACCAACAACAACAACAACGCCAACAACAACAACAACAACACCACCACCAACAACAACACCACCACCAACAACGCCACCACCAACAACAACAACAACACCACCAACAACAACAACGCCACCAACAACAACAACAACAACGCCACCAACAACAACAACGCCACCAACAACAACAACAACAACGCCACCAACAACAACAACGCCACCAACAACAACAACAACGCCACCACCAACAACAACAACAACACCAACAACAACAACGCCACCAACAACAGCAACACCAATGCCACCAACAACACCAATGCCACCAACAACAACAATGCCACCAACAACACCACCAACAACAATGCCACCAACAACAACAAAAAGAAGCCACGCAACAGTTGTGATTTTAAAAAGACCAACATTGACCTTTCACCTACCTGAAGAGGTGTGCTAGCAGCTGAGATTTTTGTAAATCCTACGATATCGCTAAAAAATAACGTCACCTGGAGGGAAACAAGACCAGCAGTTAATGAAACAAACTTTGATGTATTCAAACAAGGAATGATATAATTTTTAAAGAATTTGAAGAAATTTAATGAAATGGTATGTTTGAAGAATGTTGATACATATAATGAGTTTTAATACATCAACTTCAGCTCTGTGGAGACTTACTTGTTCATAGAATTCAGTTCTGTGGAGACTTACTACGTCATAGAATTCAGCTCCGTGGAGACTTACTTGGTCATAAAATTCAGCTCTATGGAGACTCACTTGGTCATGGAATTCAGCTCTATTGAGACTTACTTGTTCATAAAATTCAGCTTTATTGAGACTTACTTGGTCATAGTATTCAGCTCTGTGGAGACTTACTTGGTCATAGAATTCAGCTCTATGGAGTCTTACTTGGTCATAAAATTCAGCTCTGTGGAGACTTACTTGGTCAGAGAATTCAGCTCTATGAAGACTTACTTGTTCATAGAATTCAGCTCTATGAAGACTTACTTTTTCATAGAATCCAGCTCCATAGAGACTTACTTGGTCATAGAATTCAGCTCTATGAAGACTTACTTGTTCATAGAATTCAGTTCTGTGGAGACTTACTTGTGCATAGAATTCAGCTCTGTGCAGACTTACTTGGTCATAGAATTCAGCTCTATGGAGACTTACTTGTTCATAGAAATCAGCACCGTGGAGAATTACTTGGCCATATAAAACAGCTCTATGGAGACTTACTTGGTCATAGAATTCAGCTCTATGGAGACTTACTTGTTCATAGAAATCAGGACCGTGGAGAATTACTTGGTCATATAAAACAGTTCTATTGAGACTTACTTGTTCATAGAAATCAGGACCATGGAGAATTACTTGGTCATATAAAACAGCTCTATGGAGACTTACTTGGTCATAGAATTCAGCTCTATGGAGACTTACTTGGTCATAGAATTCAGCTCTATGGAGACTTGCTTGGTCATAGAATTCAGCTCTATGGAGACTTACTTGGTCATAGAATTCAGTTCTGTGGAGACTTACTTGTGCATAGAATTCAGCTCTATGGAGACTTACTTGGTCATAGAATTCAGTTCTGTGGAGACTTACTTGTGCATAGAATTCAGCTCTATGGAGACTTACTTGGTCATAGAATTCAGCGTTGACGGTTTTGTGCATCTTGAGCTGCTGTGCCACAGATTTGGGCAACATCTGATACAACAAGCTGTCGGATCTCTGTTTTTCTATTATGAGCTGTTGGGATTTGTGAGACGCCTCAATGGCGTAGTTCTGGGAGAAGAAGACAAGGGAGGTAAGACAGATCATGTGAATAATTCTACAGTTGTTTACCTTTAAATGTTCTTTTAAATTTTTATATTACAAGATATTTGAGACTGATACTTTTTTTACAAATGTAATAAGATGTTCACCTTATGAACAACTGTTATAACTGTGCGCTTAGCACTGTGCTTTTTTCTTAGGCTTTAAATTTATTCCAAAATGACTTAATTCATTTAAGAAAAGGGGAAATAAAAAGTCTTTGCTTTTAAAAGTGTTTTCATTGTTGTTTCCCTTTCAATATTCTTTACTCTAACTGTGGAACTAGGCATTACATTATTGAGTTGTTTTTTTTCTTATTACTATTTAAGAAATAGATAAATATCAAATCCTCTAATCAAATGTCTATACATATCACTTTTTTAACTAAAAAAATAATATAGTTTTCACAGACTTTTTCATTTGGTTGTAAAAATTAAACCCACACTGTTTTCAAAGGCGTATGATTAAAAAAAAAAAGACTAAAGCTGACATTCGTCTGCCAGACTCGAGGCCCGAGTTTAAACTGATAGCACGAGCTGCCTACCTGTATGGACATGGTCAAGGTGTGCATCAGTTTGACCAGTATCGGCGTCATGATGAGCACACAGATGAACACCAGGCAGGCCACGACCATCATGTTGATTGACGTGGTGATCTCGGCGTCGACCTTGTCGAGGACCTGGGAGGTTGCAAAGGAAGTGTTGGGTCATTGGGGATGCGCTGGGTTGAGCTGCAGTGGGTCATTGGGGGGTGCGCTGGGTTGAACTGCAGAGGGTCATTGGGGGTGCGCTGGGTTGAACTGCAGTGGGTCATTGGGGGTACGCTGGGTTAAACTGCAGTGGGTTTTGGGGGTACGCTGGGTTGAACTGCAGTGGGTCATTGGGGGTATGCTGGGTTGAACTACAGTGGGTCATTGGGGGTACGCTGGGTTGAACTGCAGTGGGTCATTGGGGGTGCGCTGGGTTGAACTGCAGTGGGTCATTGGGGGGTGCACTGGGTTGAACTGCAGTGCTATGTTTGTGTTCTCCCGATATCGCTAGTTCACCGCCTAATTCAGAACCAGCACGAATACGATAACATTAATGTCGTGTTCGAATTCGACGGAGGAACTGAATCAGCTAACCAAAAACTGATGACTGAAAGTTCCATGATAATGGTGGCATGTGAAAGTGTCAGGGCTTGGTAGGCTAGATATCCCAAACCAGGCCGCGGCAAACAAAACCTACTCAAAGCCTAGATTCGGCCTTCTTTTCACCCAAACACATACACATTTATTGCATGAAAAACGGCGAATTTGGCGCCCTCCGTCCGCCTCTTCGCCCGACCCTGGCCACAACTTTGAAGGTACTGTGTATGAAAAATGATCGCAAACTACAAATACCTCCTAATACGATATCATATCATTCATCATGTCTCGTAAAACATATTTAACTAACACTGACTAATGACGGTCCACGCGCCAAAAAATGTCTCGTTTACCTTCTTACTGAGCTCCCGGTTGATCCTGGCCAACATGTTGAAGTACTCCATGACGCTCTTATGGAACTTCCGGCCTTTTTCAGCACTGGCGTTGGGGAAGTTGTTCACCTGTAAATGGAGTGGAGTTCTTCAAGAATAAGTGAAGACTACATTTAGGAACGGCTAAACGTGACCGCGAGTAGATTAGAGAGTAATGTTCTAATGATGATGTTTACAGTGATAGTGACCGAGAGATAAAGAGCATGAGATTTTAAATGTTTAATGTTATTATCTTAAAGAATGGAATTTTTAATTTTTTAATTAATCTTTTTTTCTTTTTTGAAGTATGAGTGGAATGATTCATTACGACGATTGGATACACAGTACATATTGAGTACACATGGGTACCCACTGAGAACACATCTGGTACACAGTACACATTGAGTACACATGGAGTGCCCACGGAGTACACATCTGGCACACAGCGCACATTTAGTACACATGGGTACCCACTGAGTACACATCTGGTACACAGTACACATTGAGTACATATGGGTACCCACTGAGTACACATCTGGTACATAGTACACAGTACACATCTGGTACACAGTACACATTGAGTACACATGGGTACTCACTGAGTACACATCTGGTACACAGTACACACTGAGTACACATGGAGCACACATGCAGCACAGACTGAGTGCACAGTACACATTGAGTGCACAGTACACATTGAGTGCACAGTACACATTGAGTGCACAGTACACATCGAGTACACTTTGTGTACACAATAGGTGCTCAGTACACATTGACAACACATTAGGTGCACAGTACACATTGATCACAGATTGAGTACACATTGGGTACACGGTACAAATTGAGTGAAAACTCACAACAAAAAGGGTAGGGGGGGGGGGGGGGGAGTTGAATCTTTGTTACATACAAAAATTGATTGCTGGTAAATGTCAAACTTTAAAGATTGCAAAGAAGGTCGCTTTCTTGGAAGCACTAAAATCGATCAATTCCAGGAATATGAATCTGGGTTTTGGCGCGTACATTGCTGTGGGAGAATAAGCAGGGAGATTATATGGGCAGTGGAACTCACAACAATGCGTTCATTTTGGAAATGTGCTCTTAATGCGTACACCTTTTTTTAAATATGTTTATTCCATAACCAAAGTTTATGTACAAGTGAATAAATTCAACATAATATATTCCACTAAGAAGCATAATTTTATTAAAACTGCTTAAAATAGTTTTTTTTTATTTAGTTTTTTTTTATAAAATCTTAACCCAAGGACAATTTTTCTTCTCCGCAGCGTATCAAAGACGTATGCATCAGTTTGTTTCATAAACTTTTATTTTGTCCCGACCTTATCTGAACACCTAATTAGCTTGAATGGGGTCCCTCCCCCCTCCCCCTTAATAGAGGGGCTTAAAAAAAAGGTATCCAAACTGCCGCCAGGATGATTGGATTTCAATTTAGTCTATGTCCTTGACATTTAGCGTTGTGGGATACAAGTACAATAAGGAAAACACACTTTGTATTGCATTAAAGATCACTAAGAAATTCAGTAGTTAACTTTTTTTTTCATAAACTGCCAAGTCTCACATCCCCCCCCCCCACCCCACCCCCAGAAAAAACTTTTTTTTTTTTTAAAATTTCAAACATTTCCTATCTTAGAGACTAATTTCCCCCCCCCCCCATATTTCCCCTCATATCGTTCAAAATGCCCCCCCCCCCATTATCCTTCAAATCGCTCTCCTGTGGGGCGTACACACCAAGTTGAAGAACAGTGATGTCCAGTTTGTGGTGGACCGTGGTGTTTTGTGTGGATGTCCTTTAAGAGCAGTTTCATCGAATCTTGAAACGCCCGGCTTCCGTGTGCCGCCGGCTCTGGAGAAATTTCCTCTGCCTGATAGGAGGCTCTTATTCAATGCAGAGGCAAACATTCTAATTGTACATCTTACCATCTGATTCCATTGGTTTCCGTTAGGCTCTTCCTGCAATAGCTCCCAATGCCCAATCTACATCCCATTCAACTGCCATCCACTTCCGATCCACTTCCTATCTACTTCCTATCCACTTCCTATCTACTTCCGATCCACTTCCTATCTACTTCCGATCCACTTCCTATCTACTTCCGATCCACTTCCTATCTACTTCCGATCCACTTCCTATCTACTTCCGATCCACTTCCTATCTACTTCCGATACACTTCCTATCTACTTCCGATCCACTTCCTATCTACTTACCATCCAATTCCCATCCGATTCCCCTCCAATACCCATTCACTTCCCATCCACTTTGCATTCAATTACCATCGAACGTCCCATCAACTTGCCACCCACTTAACATCCAATTCCTATCCATGTCCCATCAGCTTCCCATCCAATCACCCATCGACATCCCATCCACATCGCATCCAACTCCCAAACACATGGCCATCCCATTCTAACTGATTCGAAACTATCCATTTAAAAAAAAACATTTCCCATTCTACCAGCTGCATCAATCAAGACCGTGTGGAAGAGCTTCTTGTTTACGTCACCAGGGAAACTCCTCGCCAAAACAAAGATTCTAAAAGCAGAGGTTTTTTTTTTTTTAAGTTATTCACATCTAATTAATTAATTATTATTATTTTTACTCTTAGAACTTATCACAACAGAAATATATTCCTGTTAGGGTTCCGGGGGGGGGGGGGGGGAAAGAGGACTAAAATATATTAATTGTAATGTTGTTATAAATCAACTGAGTTAATAGGTTTGATTGAATCTGGTAAACACGACCATAAAATCTCCATCGTTGTCATTCATTGGCGTTTGGTGCAGCCTCGTACCTAGGTGGTTGTCTTTTTTTGTGTTTTGTTGGGGGTTTTTTTGTCCACAAAATGTAAATTTTTCTGCAACAGTTCACGTGTGTTGATGGCTCTGACCCGGTGTAATGAATTTCAAATTGCAATTCCCCCCCCCCCAACCAATTTCAACCATAGATCTGGGGAAAACAATTATTTTTAATAAAGCTGGTTGACTTTAATTTATTTTATTTTATTTTTTTATTAAAAGACCAATTTTATAAACTAATAAATAAATTACTACAGTTGATAACAAAACAATATCGAGCTGACGAGATTAATCAGGAAGCGAACACACACACACGTGTACACACACACAGAGAGAGAGAAAGTGACGTAATCCACGACATCTAAATATCAGCTTACATGAGGATGGCTTGCTGTATACTCTACCAACTTTTTTTTTCACAGCGATTGGAGAGAAAGAGACATGAATCATTTTAGTTCCTTTCACTCTCAGATTAAACAGATGGGCCAAAGTTAACGGTCCGATTTGTCCCTGATACACAGGACCGTGCCGAGCAAAGCTGCGCCGGTACGAAGCCTAAAAATGCCCCCCCCCTCCTTTTTTTATTTCATCAATTTATATATATATAAAGATAATTTACAACTACCCCCCTTTAGGCTGACGCCCCATATTGTCGCCCCTTCGCCCACCTGCTGATCTATAATAACAACATCCATTAAAAAGCTTAAGAAAACGAGTCGTATTAAAAAAAATAACACGATGCAGGCTATCAATCATGCAAGGGCGTCGCACACTGAGGTCTGTTAGTATGAGCGGAGGTCGCCGCCACACACAAAAGATTGCCTGCAGACAGGTTTAATTCTGTTTTGGGACATTCGAGTTCCATTGAATTGTGTCGTGATTGTGTTTGGTAGATTGGGTTATAGGGCCTCGAGGCGCCATTCTTCATGAAATAGCATTTGGAACGGATAAGAAAATCCATGGAAGGGCGGGAGTAGCGTTTAAGAACGAAGACAATGGATAGGCCGACAGCAGTGAAGAGTGAGAGAAGAAAGGCGAGATAGTAATCTTAGGCGAGGGGTGAGCAAGTTGGGGATTTCAAACAAGGGAAGGAATGGTAGGTGGAGGAATGAGGAGGAGGGATGGTCAGTGGAGGAATGAGGAGGAGAGATGGTCAGTGGAGGAATGAGGAGGAGAGATGGTCAGTGGAGGAATGAGGAGGAGAGATGGTCAGTGGTGGAATGAGGAGGAGAGATGGTCAGTGGAGGAATGAGGAGGAGAGATGGTCAGTGGAGGAATGAGGAGGAGAGATGGTCGGTGGAGGAATGAGGAGGAGAGATCGTCATTAGGGTTTACCTCAGAATCAAATTCAGAGAGTCCAGATGGTACAAAATACTACAGCACGCATCGCAATTGTATCGCGAATAAAGAAATAGACCCTGACGATCACATCACACCAGTTCTTAAAGATCTCCACTGGCTTCCTGTGAGTGAGCGCAATTGAACACAAAATTCTGTTAACGCTGTCCACGCGGCTAACCTACCTTCCAAGACAGCCGGTACTCCTGGAGGTTGGTGAACGCCTCCGTGTTGGTTCTGTTGAAATCCCGGTACAGCTCCTCGGCGAAGGGGGAGAACAGCGTGGCTATCTCGATGTACTCGTGGGCGGCGACGTCTTCGTCACGGAGCATGTTGTAATCTTCCAAGGAGGGGAAGGGGTGTGGGTGGGGAGATGCTTTAATTTTCTAGGGTAAGATATTTTAGGTCTATGACGTGTAAGCCTCGTTTGTTAAGTTGTGATATTTCCTACTATGAGGTAAGTCTCCTTTGCCCGTTTGATAAGCAAACATTGTTAATATCTTTTTAATCCTTGAAATTAACTTCGCTTTTGTTCGTGGGTGACTGACTGGCTGGTGGACTTGCAAAATCTTAGGACGGCCAACTCACCCGATTCCTGTCAAGCAATCGAGCTAAAACTTGGCACATAGACTTGCTCGGTATTGAACGTCTTCAAGGGTTTATAAGAAAAAAACTTTGTGTTTGGTTTTAGGGTTGGTTCAGTTTTAATTAAGATCGATTCTCGGCAAACGAGATCACTGTAAAGCAGGGAAGCTGAAAATGGTTTCTCTACAAAAAAAAACTTGAGTCTCGTTTTACCCAGGTATGAGTTTCATTCTGTATGGTATTTAAACATTTCGATGGATCTGGTCACGTGGCTGTTCAATCTCAAAAGGGTTAACCACCGCCACCTTGATTGTGGCTCTCTTACCGCAAAGAATGCTATCCCAAATGGACCACCACCTTGCCTCTCACCTCAAAGAATGTTATCCCAATGGATCACCACCTTGTCACTCACCTCAAATATCATTATCCCAAATGGACCACCACCTTGCCTCTCACCTCAAAAAATGTTATCCCAATGGATCACCACCTTGTCACTCACCTCAAATATCATTATCCCAAATGGACCACCACCTTGCCTCTCATCTCAAATATCATTATCACAAATGGACCACCACCTTGCCTCTCACCTCCAATATCATTATCCCAAATGGACCACCACCTTGCCTCTCATCTCAAATATCATTATCCCAAATGGACCACCACCTTGCCTCTCACCTCAAATATCATTATCCCAAATGGACCACCACCTTGCCTCTCACCTCAAATATCATTATCCCAAATGGACCACCACCTTGCCTCTCACCTCAAATATCATTATTCCAAATGGACCACCACCTTGCCTCTCACCTCAAAGAATGTTATCCCAATGGACCACCACCTTGCCTCTCACCTCAAATATCATTATCCCAAATGGACCACCACCTTGCCTTTCACCTCAAATATCATTATCCCAAATGGACCACCACCTTGCCTCTCACCTCAAATATCATTATCCAAAATGGACCACCACCTTGCCTCTCACCTCAAATATCATTATCCCAAATGGACCACCACCTTGTCACTCACATCAAATATCATAATCCCAAATGGACCACCACCTTGCCTCTCACCTCAAATATCATTATCCCAAATGGACCACCACCTTGTCTCTCACCTCAAAGAATGTTATCCCAATGGACACCCCCTTGCCTCTCACCTCAACGAATGATATCCCAATGGACCACCTCCTTGCCTCTCACCTCAACCAATGATATCCCAATGGACCACCACATTGCCTCTCACCTCAAAGAATGTTATCCCGATGGACAAGAGGACCCCCACGCTCTCCTGGGCCTTGAGCAGCATCTTGTAGCTGACGTAGTCCTGCCAGACGCTGCCGTGGTTCATGTCCTTGGCCAGACCCATCAGGACCTCGAGGAAACAGTTGGTGAACTGGCTGTGGACGAGATGTGAGGAGAGGGATATGAGGACGGGATTTGGGATAAGTGTTGAATTCGGCCCTGGGGATGGGATAGTATTTGCTCACTGCTGAATTTTGGAAATGGGGATCGGATGGGGTAAGTTTTAAATTGAAAAATTGGGATGGGATATGATAATTATTGAATTGGGCAATGACATTGGGGTATGATAGGATTTGAATTGGGAAATGGGGATGTGATGGGATAAGCGTTGAATTAGGAGATGTGGATGAGATGGGATAAGCGTTGAATTAGGAAATGTGGATGTGATGGGATAGGCGTTGAATGAGGAAATGGGGATGTAATGGGATAAGCGTTGAATTAGGAAATGGGGATGTGATGGGATAAGCGTTGCATTAGGAAATGTGGATGTGATGGGATACGTGTTGTACTGAAAAGTTGGGGTGGGTTTGATATAAGTTTTGAAGTGAACCATGTATGGTAAGGGGGAAAATAGATGTACAAAAAGCGAAGACTGAAAGACAACAAACAAGAGAAGGAGCCCATCGGCTGTACGGTGGGCCAAAAGAAGATTGATACCAGCAATTTAAAGCTGTCACCCATAGATAAAAAAAAAGTTGAGGTCAACGTGACACTGATTTGAGACGGGTTTGTTTCGAGAGGGGGGGCGTCGCAGGAAGGGGTAAGGATCAACCAAAATCAGATGATAGACTGATAAATTGGACGCTCCTGGGTAGGGTATTACCGCTTGGTCTACGGTTGAGAGATCACATGATGGGTATTTGAAAGGGGGTGAAAGTTGGGGGGGGGGGGGATCAGGGGGGGGGGGGGGGGATCAGGGAGTTCAGCGGTAATAATAAGTATCAACTAAAACAGTGGTTCTCAACCGCTTTGTAGACCAATAGCTACTATGTTTAAATAGCTGAAATATGTGTTTGTTATTTTTTATAATGTATACACATTATAATCCTCACATTCACTAACATGATTTATTCATACTTGGTAATGCATGACGCCCTTAAATACGTATAATAAAGATTAAAAAACAATAAATGGCCGACAGATTAAGCTCTCGTCCACAATCTCGCGATGTGATTCTCGCTCACGTTAAAATATGGTTGGTTTTTGTTTGTTTTTTTTTGTTTGTGTGTGTGTTAGCATGATTGTGGTTTGAAAGAATCTACCTTGTTATCTCCCCGACACATAACATTTAGTAAAGAAATCAAAGAAGGACGGCAAGGCGAACTACAGTTAAGTGATAACACTGCCCGGACAAAGCAACAATGGCTTGAAGGTGGTCAACGATATTTGGTCAACGATATGTGGTCAACGATATGTGGTCAACGATATGTGGTCAACGATATGTGGTCAACGACATGTGGTCAACGATATGTGGTCAACGACATGTGGTCAACGATATGTGGTCAACGATATGTGGCCAACGATGTGTGGTCAACGATATGTGGTCAACGATATGTGGTCAACGATACGTGGTCAACGATAGGCGGTCAACGATAGGTGGTCAACGATAGGTGGTCAACGATAGGTGGTCAACGTCATGTGGTCAACGATATGTGGTCAACGATATGTGTTCAAAGATATGTGGTCAACGATATGTGGTCAACGATATGTGTTCAAAGATATGTGGTCAACGATATGTGGTCAACGATATGCGGTCAACGCCACGTTGGATCAAAAGATACAACAACAAAAATATATATTTTGTTTAAAGACTTTTATGAAAGACGCGTTATAAAAGGCACTAAAAAGTTGTTTTTTTAAATAAATTTAAATATCTGAAAATGGATTTACGCAAAGAAAGACTTTAATGAAATGTAGATGAGCACTCTATGTAGCCAAGGAAAGACTGTAGATGAGCACTCTATGTAGCCAAGGAAAGACTGTAGATGAGCACTCTATGTAGCCAAGGAAAGACTGTAGATGAGCACTCTATGTAGCCAAGGAAAGACTGTAGATGAGCACTCTATGTAGCCAAGGAAAGACTGTAGATGAGCACTCTATGTAGCCAAGGAAAGACTGTAGATGAGCACTCTATGTAGCCAAGGAAAGACTGTAGATGAGCACTCTATGTAGCCACGGAAAGACTGTACACGAGTGTAGATGGCCAAACTCTGTTAATCCAAACTTTCAGACCATAAATCAATGTATGTGTATGATACTCACCAATGAATATTTATTTGTGTAAATGCGTTAGATTTTCATATTTTATTATTTCTTTCGTGTGAATTTTTTTTTTCTCTAGCAAAACTTGTTACTTATTTCCTATGACGTTTTTTTTTCCTCTTGCAAAACTTGTGACTTATTTCCTATGACGTTTTTTTTCCCGCTCACCCTGCAACCCCCCCCCCCCCCACTTTTTTTTAAAAACCAGACACTGGTCACTGATGTTTTGATGAGCACTTAACTGACCTAAGAGCCTGGGATCATACGAGGGTTTAACGGAAACGATGACCGGAAATCGATCCTTATTTAAAGAGTCCAAGGGCAGACCCCAATTTTTCGACAGCTCAGACGCTGTAATGAGATGGCGTTCATTTCAATGAAAATCTGGTTTATAGCGTGTGGAGAGGGGGACTGGGTGAGGGGGTGGGTTGGAGGAGGGAGGCCAAGAGCATAATGGATAATATTGGTAATATATAGTAATAATAATAATAATAAAGTTTATTTGAGAATCACGCTTCATCCCCAAAGGCTTGAAGCGCGGTTCAAATGGAAATGAAAAATCTATACTATAATACATTGAAATACAAAACGCAACATTAAAAAAAAACTTCATACAAGAATACCCATTCTAAGTCTTTCATCCCTTGCAACCATAAACAATGCAGGGCAATATACATCTAGGAGATAATAGTTAGCTGGAAAAGATGGTACACAACATCACCCCAGCAGGTGTTCGCGAAATGGATGTGTTTTCAAATCGGTATTGAAAGACTCCAGTGGCTGGCTGTTTCTGAGAGCGACATGAAGTGTATTCCAAATTGTTGGGCCAGCAAATGCGAAAGTGCGTCTGTCTTCCGTAAGTCTCAAGGCGAACACGTGGTATCGTATATCAGTAGCCTTAACTAAAGTTCAGTATTGCGTAATATTGTAGAGACGGGCACAAACTTGTTGGTGTTCAAGAGTTTTCTGAGTAGTCAAAATGCGAATTTAAAAATGGCTACTGACTTCGACTGGAAAAAAAAAAATTGTACCAAGACTGGAGGAATAATTTAAAGCTGAAAAACCCTGCATCCGGGTATGCTATCATGGGTAAAAAAAAAATCCTTTCTAAGGCCATTTAATTTTTTTTTCTAAAATGTAATTTAATAAATAAAAAATAAACAATTTTCTGAAAGCAAGTAACAGTAAGAGAG